AGTGAAGCTGCAAGGCCAGCGGCGGCCGGGACCGTTGGGGGCGGGGTGTGTGGCCTTATGACACACTTCCGGTGATGTCAGGGGGTGTGGCATATGCTAATGAGTTATGCTAATGAGTCCCCCTAGCTCTTTTTCTACAAAACGACCCCTGGGTAGAAGTATCAAGAAGTGTTTCTTTAGGGAGACTGAGAGGTTAGATAGGCAAGTATTAATAGCTGAGTATTTTACATGATGGAGTAGGGGGAGAGATCTTCCTGTCCAGCACTTAAGAAGGAAATGGCTGCAGCTGGCCTGTTCCTCATTTTCTTGATTATCTGGGTCGCTATTAAGGCCAGATTATCAGGGAGGGGACCCCTTATGTCCTGGAGGGGAAAAGCCCTTTGGTTGACTCCCACCACATATGGCTTTTCACGATTAAGTTGCTTCACATTCCTTGCACGCCCTCAGCATGACTCTGTCATTTTGATATCTGTTTGATCAAGACTCAGTGTTTTCATTGCTGGGACGGTGCTGAGATGTACGTGTGTACAGGGATAAAAATGGAGGTCCCCTGTTAGGGAGAGTCCCGTGGCATCATACTGCTAGTCAGGGGTCATTTTGTAGACAAAGAGGAGCAGGAGCTCATTAGCACAACTCATTAGCATAACTTATTTGCATATGCAACACCCCCTGACATCACTGGAAGTGTGTCAGAAGACAACACCCACAGCTCTGGCTCTACTGTACTATTTTGGATTGCTAGCTATTGGGGGGGGGACGTGCAGATCTGTCCTCACAGAGGAGGGAGAGCTTGTACCTGAATAAAACTTGGTCTTAAAGGTGCCACCGGATTGTTTTGGGTCAGGGTGCGGGGGGGGGCCCTCTTCAACTTACCTGGCTGCTTCTTGCTCTGACTTAGGGCTGCTGGGAGTAGGGGGTGGAGCTTGTTGCATGTGCCCGCCCCCTGGGCTCTTTACTGCCGGAGCTCTGCTCCTGTGCACTCCTGCAGGAAATGACCCCTGCTGCTAGTGTCAAAAGCTGTGTCTAGAGGGGAATCCCAAAGGGCGCAGGAACTCTTTGGGTTTCTGTTCTCATCATAGGGTGATTCTGCATTGGCTTTTCCCTCCATTGTTTTACCAAACCCACTGTGGATCAGAAATTCCCCTCTGCATTGCATGCGGCTTTCGCTTCCTTTGATAATCGGGTTTTATGGTACCTTCTGCATAGATGTATGGCCATTCAGGGGTGACTTTGCAGTCAGTATGGCATTGCCCCAGGGTATCTGAATGTGGTTTTGAGCTGCACCTTTTCCTCAGTGTTGAGAAGATGTGGAGCGAATGCCAGATGCAGAATCACCCCATGGTTTCGTGATCCTCAAAAAACAGGATCACGAAACCAGGATCACGAAACTGGGCGAAGCCGCGGGTCAAAATGCGCCCGTGCGGCTTCGAGTGGGAAATTGACCAATAGAAGTGGGGCAAAGGGAGGCGCGACTGCGGCACAGCTCTTGTGTGAAATCGGTCCCATAGACTTCAGAAAGCAGACGGAAGGTCTTCTCTGGGCAAACAGCGATAGACATAGGGTGTCTCTGGCTCAGAAAAGTTATCCAAATGAAGACGGGACTCACGGATGTGCTTTCATTCATTTGGGTCTTTGGGGAGGAAGAGTACATGCCGACCCCGCCCAAAGCCCTTCATATTCGGTGCACAGCCAATTCATTTTCATTTTGATCCTGCCTCAAGGAGAAAGTTAGGTCTTCCCTTGCAGAGATGCTAGGAGAGAATTAAGATGATGTTCTTCACCTCCACCAAGCTGGTATCAACCCAGAACCTGTCCCACACGAAATGCAAAGAAGAGTATGAAAAACAATAATCATGGTAAATCTCAAAAGAAGGTCTCACATGCCATTGAACCACTGAGTCATTTTGTGTGTCATTCTCTTTATAGGCCTGATACCAGGAACACAGTACAAGATCACAGTCATATCCGTGAAGAATGAGATTGAAGGGAAACCATCATCGGTTAATGGCTGGACAGGTATAAGCAGCATTAATAGGCTGTCACGCAAGTGGGTGATTTCGACAAGCATGACTTGTTGCAGGAGCCATAGCATGTCTGTCATACAATGATGACCCTTGGGAATTTCCAAATCTCCCACCCCCCAACATTTGCCAAGTCTCTGAGAGGTTAGGCAATGATTCAGGTGTCTCCTTCTGTCCATAACATGCAAACAGCAGGTTCATGCAACCTCCGCTTGCCCCAGGACCCTTTCTGGATGTGTACTTAAAATGTTTAAAGTGCATGTTTATAAAAATGTAAAGCGTGAACAATAATTTGCATTAGCCAGTTTCACTGTGGTTTCCTATCGAGTATGCTGCTCCTTTTTTGCTCCTGGGTTTGCCACTGCATTGTGCGCGAAAGAAACCCTCAGTGAGCTAGCAGCCACTGGAAGGATAAGGATCCACCAATGGTGATGCCACATCATTTCTTCCACTGACTGCTGTTCTCAGTTTGGGTGGATCTGTCAGCCTCACACTCCCTCATTCTGGCTATTGCCTCCAACCAGATGCCTGACGCTGGAAGGGCTCAGTTTCTCTGTTGTTTATTTCTGCCTTCCTGAATGAACTTATCTGTGGGAGGATGGAAGGAAGGCCTTGGGCATTGAGGGTTCTGCTTCCCTTTGGGCAGGAGATCTGCTCCAGAATGTCCTGATCTTTAGCATTTTGTTTTGTTTTGAACATGCTGTTCTTTGGATCGGTTGTCGGAACCTCCTCTGCAACC